TCTTCCTGAGTCATGGCTTTGGCATGTAGTACTATAATATCCTTCTGAGCACATACTGTAAGCTGTAAAATACAATACAATACAATATGCTGACTGGACTACTTTACAGCAGCAGTGATGTGATAAACTGTTGACGTGAAAAGTTTTTGTGAAAGTAAAATAAAACCTAAAGACAATGGCTGCTTTACATCCACTTTATATGTACTATTTACTTAGAAACGCATTTTGCTGTATGTGGAACGTGTGGTTACGTGAAAGGGTGGGTACATCCATCACTTTACATTACCTTTAATTCGTCAGTATTTGACTTTTACCTCTGGGGTCAGAGGACTCCGCCCACCTGACAGGCATCATGAGTCCAAATCTTCTATTGACATGCTAAATCAATGTGCGATTTCCTCACACGCTGCGTCCTTTGAATTGATACGGCCATCTCTCACTGTGACTAACTGGCTCCCTGCTTGGTCATCAGCCGGCCCCTTCTGACAATCCCATCCAATAATAATGGACAACAGAAGCTGCGCTGCCTTGACAACGGTCCTCCTGACAAATTAGACTCACTGTACTCTCCCTGCTCTGGCTCCACCTCTTGTTTACCTCTTGTTGCTTGGCAGTTCTGGACTCTGCCAGGACAAGGGCGGTGGGTGCAGTGTTGCACTTCTGGAGTATACTTTAAGTTGCAGCCTCCACTGCGACACATGTTGCTATTCTCCTTGACAAAACACTCAATTGATTGTAATGTGTCCTTAAAGGACTGGGACACACTGTGGTGCCTGAGCGTGCTGCGCTGAGTTGAGGATTTTGTGCCAGGGTGGAGAGAAGGACATAAACGCACACACCCAACAAACACACACAACGCGTGCATGTATATATATACACACACACACACACACGAGCACCAAACCAAATGTGAGAGGAGAGAGAGGATCCCACAGTGTGGATGATGCAACTGGAGTGAAATTTTTCGGCCAGAACGCATACTGCATTAACACAGACCTGCAGGATGAAAAAATCCCTGCTTCTTTCTGTTCTCGTTCAAAACCACATTCGACATTATCTTTATCATTTTTTTACGCATACGACGCTTTTCAAACAGAAATCTTTGTCACTTTCAATCAAACAGAACCTGGGTTTTTTAATGTTTTGGAA